TGAACGGGTGACATTTACGAGGACGTGCGGTCAATGCTAAAAATTTCCTGAAATTATTACCTCTGTCTTCTAAGATCATAGCTGATACTGTACATTAATTTTACATTCGTATTCATCGAGTTCCATCTGACAAACATATACTAATCAAATTAACCGAGTTTTTCTTATTGCTCAACTTGCACGAGTGTTCACTTGTTTAAATTTTGCATTTACCAGTGAGGTCAGAAACAACCAACCATGGGAAATTCTATAAAGACACATATTGCTCTATGCTTGAATCGATTAAGCCCTCAGTGTTCCTTCCAAAACTGTTAGAAATAAATGTAATTGACAAGCCAAACCACATTACAAGAGTGAATTTGTTACTATAGAGTAGAACCAGACAGAGTTCAAACTTGAAAGCTGTTGGGTTCTCACCAACAATATCTTTGAGACCTTGCTTAGTAAGAAGAAATTTACTCCCCGCTTTCTGTTGTGTTAGAATATACATTTTGATTACCTTGACAATCTCTGCAGTAATTCTGAAAATTTACCATACACAGTGTAAACGAATTATGTTCTAAATGGGGTGAAATAGATCACGGAAAAGTGTGCAGTGCAGAGTGATCACGGAAAAGTATGTAGGTCAAATTGTCCCCATCTCTTGAGAAGTTGGTGAATGTTCAATGTTCTGTTTTTGTTTTTGTTTTTTCTATTAACATAGGTTTGCCTTATTTATTATTATTATTCCATAACTTGTTATCTTAATCATGTTCTTGTTTTGCCCCGCCGCGACTCGCTTCTTAGCTATTTGCGGGGCAAACCATTTTAATCATGAATTTTTTTAATAAGAATTTTCAATTATCTATGTCATTAATCAGAATAAGAATAAAGTTTGTTTGTTTGTTTGTTGTTTGTTTGTTAGAACTGTTCTCAGATCACAATAACAATCGGCTGACGTCTTTTCTTTACAGATAGCCTTATTTCCTTAAAAAAAAGTTACGTTAAAGAACGTTTCTTTTCCAGCCATGTCCATATTTGATCTTGTGAAGTTGATGCTAGTTTGGATACTGTTCCTCGTTCATTCTCAGAAGTGACTAACAACGAATATTTCCTTAATCTACCTAGCGCTAAAATAGCGCGGTAATCTACGAAAGGCATACCAAACCAAAGAAACTCGGGTAGTTTTTTTTCTAATGTATTAAGCTCCATGACCCGAAAACATACCGAACTTGTATGGAAGCATTTTTACTTTCAAGCAAATGTTCCTTCGACTAAAGTTTTACCTTTCTTAACAGAATTCCTTCCTTCTAGCTCTACCAGACGAAAATGGAAAATTTCGCGTCGGTCTTTGTATTGGCGGTTTCCCTCGTGTTGGTAACAGGTACGAAAAACTTTCCCCTGTCAGAAGCCTCTCGGAAAAAAAGAAAAAAAAAAAAAAAAAAAGGAAGCTTGTTGAGAATTTTCGAAAATAGATGTTCGGATTTGTGACAAAAAGAAATTATATACAATTAGGAATTACATAAATCTTAACCCTTTCTCTCCCAAGATCTCTTTGATAATTCTGCTTACTGTCTGCCATACAATTCTTATGATGTTAGTTTGGAGAACTTGGTATTGGACTAACTGATGATCCCCTGATTTTCTTTTTTTCCTTATTCTCATTACTTGTCTGCTTGATATTCTATTGATGTTGTAAGGAGAAATTCTGCCGTCTTGGTCAACCATGGTTTAAGGGTGAATTCGTACCTGCGGATTAAAATCAGCGAAAGCAATGATCCTCTCAGGCGAGCTACAATTAATAAAATGCAGAGAAAAGGCTAAAACAATTCAGTCATCGACAGGATTCGAACTCGTGACTGCCAGATACTAGAGAGACTTCGCGCTGCGTTTACATGAAACGTGAACGGCACGAGTGACCTTGTTTTTCCCGCCATTTTTTCACGTTTGCCAGTTGCGCTTTGCCGTTTCTACGTGAAAGTAAACTGTTTCGCGTTTGCCGTGTTCGTAAGATTTTCTCCACTTTTTCTCTCACAGAGTAGAAGTTAATTGCTGGAAAAAGGGCATCAGAACTACTTCTTGTAAGTCATACAAGAGCGCCTTCAATGACATGCGCAAGGTTCGCGCTATTTTAGGCGAAACGTTAAAGGGCAAGCTGACGTTTGCCGTTTCACGTAAACGTTGAGCTAAATCTCTCCAGTAATTGAGCCCTGCTATCAACTCAACTACAAAGCTACACGTTGCAATCAATTAACTTATAAGCGAATAATATTTATCAATGATCTATTAATGATCAATTTATTTCTAGCCAATGTCGACTCATGAAACTGTGAAACCTCATTTGAACCGGCGAGTTGTTACAAAGATCGCCTGCTTCAAAACCGAATCTTGTGATCATTCTTAACTATCGTAGAATTTTTACTATCGTACAGTGGTCACTATGCATAACTTGTGTGTGCATGAAGCACGCCCACATAAAAATCGGACGATTTTCTTTCTCACCGCCAGAAAGAAAATCGTTGTTTCTCGCAAAGAAGCACGTGTACCAATTTACTCGTTTTCCTAATTAGCATACCACACAACGACACTTGGTGCATAATAGTAAAAGGCGATCAGCCAAAATGTTCATGTGGCTAGCATTAGTATACAAAATCATACCTGAACAGGTATGGGACCCTCCCTCTTTTTCATCCCCCACTTTGGTACTAGAAAGTTTGATTATAGTATTAGCGCAGGTTCTATTTCAAGGAAATAGTCTCAACCGAGAATACAATTATTCCATCATAGGAATCGCCAAATTTAAACTCTTGTATACCGCGAAGCCCTCTATGGGAAAATTGGTATGTTCAAACAAAACCCTTTTATCGACATAATTTTATAATCTTGTAATCAGAGATCTCTTTCAACAGACATGTGCGACATCCGTATTGAAAAACTTGGTTGCTACAGAGTGAGATTCCAAAATCAACCCTTCCTACTCAAGTGCGTCCTTAACGACCGAGACCCGCAGGCACAAAAGACCTGGAGCGGGATAACCATAGACTGGTCTAACTGGCATAAGCATTTGCCAGAATTTGTTTACCGCTATGCTCAAAGAATTACGCGAAATGGATACGTATGGAAGATCTTTGGCATCAGGAACTGGGGTTGGTAGTCAGTTTTGGAATTTCTTCTGCCTTGGTTTCGTCTAATTTCCCTTTTTTGTTCTCAGGAAAGTGCAGTTCCTCTTGAACTCAGGGACCAGTACGACACCCTTCTCATTAACGTCAAGGTCACCTCAAGGCCACGCGGAATTGTGGAATTAGCACATCTGACCGTAGTTAAACAATCTAGAGAAACATCTAAGGTTCACGTTTTTCATTAAATTCAAAGCTTATTTCTACGGTGGCCCACAGGGGCAGTACAAAAATATTTTTCTCAGGACAAAAATATTTTTCCCAGTACAAAAATGTTTTTCCAGTACAAAAATATTGATCCCAGTACAAAACTATTTTTCCCAGTACAAAAATGTTTTTCCCAGTACAAAAATATTCTTCTCAGTACAAAACTATTGATCCCAGTACAAAACTATTTATCCCAGTACAAAAATATTGATCCCAGTACAAAACTATTTATCCCAGTACAAAATATTTTTCCAGTACAAGTGGGGAATGGGAACTAATCTCCCAGAGGTTATTGCCAGCTTCCTTGGAGCACATGTAAATATGGCGGCATCTTTGGCGGCTTGCCTTTGTTTTTGCCATTGCTGTAGCTTCAAAATCGTGGATCCAGCTTACACGAATTGCCCGAAATGTGGCACAGAGGTTTTCCTTGTAGCATCACCCGCAAAGTCTACAAGCAACACCACTGAACCGCCGGATTCGCCGAAGACGAGGAAATTTTCTTTGCCAAGTTTTAAGTCGTACAAAGCTAAAAAGGGTCCGAGAGAAGCTCGTTTTTTCGAGCAAAATCAACAAACAAGACAAAGAAAAGCAAACTAGAGCCAGAAAAAGTAGTCACATTTACTGTCGGGATAATGACAAGTAAAGAGACTGGAAAAATACTTTTGTACTGAAAAAATATTTTTGTACTGGGATAAATATTTTTGTACAGGGATAAATATTTCTGTACTGAGATAAATATTTCTGTCCTGGGATAAATATTTCTGTACCGGGATAAATATTTTTGTGCTGAAATTAATATTTTTGTACTGAAATATATATTTTTGTACTGTGATAAATATTTTTGTACTGCCCCTGTGGGCCACCGTATATTTCTTATCCTGGAACTAATTTTCTTTCGCACAGGAGAATGCTGGAGCGGGAATACTACATCCGACACCCTTCTTCTTCAGATGGTGGCCACCGTAGGCGAATGCAAGAACCAATGTTTCGAAGATTGTCAACACGATGATCCATTTTGTACAGGAAAAGATAACTCCAATTCTGTTTATGCAACTGGTAATGGCTAATGTTATGTAGATCTACAGTTTAGTGGCTCTACATTTGTTTAGATAAAAGCCATGCATGTGGGAAAAGACAGCTACTAATTTATACTTTTATTTCACTTTTTTTCGTTGTCCTGAGTGCTAAAGCTGTTTACCATCTGAACAAGGTATACTGAGTTTTCCAAAATCAAATTGATTGGCAGAAAAAAGAACCCATGACATAAAACCGATTAGAAAATGATAGGTATAATCCATGCATAGGGAGTGTGCGACTTTATTCCGCCATATTCAGTTCTTAACATATTTTATTTCTTTACAGTTGAAACTCAAATGAGGCGGGAAGCGGATAGGGTCAAATCATGGACTCCGTAAATACTGCACTTGTCAACAGAGAACTAGGAGGCTTTAGCTCACACAAGCGTAATTATTATTGATGATCATGTTGGGTATTGGAAGTCTTATTCAGTTCAGAGACCACTGGAGGGTCAATTGTGATTCACTTTTCAGTCCCAACATCTAAAGTATGCTGAATTAAAAGGGTTGAATAGTAGAGTCTAACAAGTTTGACGCGTTGCTTCTTACAGCTGGCAGTCTGTAAAATCGAAAAGCCTTTAATCCACCTACATATATCCTACACTTATGTTCTTTGACTGCTAGGTCTTGACATGAGATGGGTATTCATGGGTATTATGACTCTTCCAAAGTTCAATCCCGACTTAGTGCGAGTGGTGCTTTTATAACCTTTTGGACATTCACTACATACACCACTTTGCACCCCTCGGTTTCCTGGCTACTGCCCCTTTTGACTAGCATATGTTTCGTTTCATTGTGCTAATATTTCATTCAACTACCCTTTCTCACTCACACTCCCAAAACCCCACCTCCATCGCCACATACACACAAATACACCTCAAACTGCTGCTACTTTTGGGGACGTCGTTCCTCTCTTGAAAAAATTCCTCCTATTCCAAAAGCAACACTGAATCCATTCCAAGAACTTGGCCAATTTTCCCCATCTTCTAGGGAGGTAAGTGGAAAAAATGTTTTCATCAGATTAATGTGCGGAGAAGAATGAGATATAGAATTTTTTCAGAAATGCAAGTGAGGAGAAACTAAAAGATGTGGAGACGAGTCGATTTTGGTCAGACAGATCGATCGATATTCAAACGCAAAGACAGATAAAACTCATGAAATTTCTTTACGTTTTAAATTAGCAGTACGAATTGCGCAGTTTACAGAGAAGAATCTCAACTTTAATCTGCATAATTTTGCTCTGGATATCCAGTTTTAGAAAGGCAACACAGAAGACGTTTGCAGACTGTTTTGCCTACTTTGTATCTTCTTTCTGATCTGCTTTCTACATGTCAGTAATTTACCTTATCATTTTTGAATTTTTCTATTTCCCTTCCCACGCATCGCGACTTCCATATTTCTATCTCCCACTAAAGTCCTCCCATTGCATGCTGAGCATCTCTTCTAAGAGCTGATCTTAAGCAGAAGTCACCAATTAATTTTTGAACCTTGTCATGATTTGTCCTACGTCCATGAATATGCCCATACAGTGTGTTTTCGTCGGACATCGCCTTTCGAGATGACTATCACTCCGATCTTGGAGGTATCTAATCTACATATTTTTTAAGTCTCATAAAATGAAAGACGTTGATGGAATTATCTCTTCTGTAATTATTACAGGATAACCTGAAATGAGTTTGGTTTAAATAAATTAAGGAGCCAAAGGACGACCTCGTAACTCAAAAGTATGAACCATTGCCCTCTTCAAAAGGAAAATTAATACGAGCGATATTTTGGATCATGATACAAAGAAAACATTCTAACTGACAGTATCATTGCATACAGCAGATGTTCGACAACGATAGATGACGAAAAAAAAGAAACAATGATTCTGTGTTAACGCGAGGAAAGAGCATTTACTTAGCATAAACGAAGGATACACCCAAAAGAGTTACGCACTGACTCTCGAAGATCACACTGCGAAATTTTAAAACTTTCTGTTTTCATCTTTTCTTTTCGCTCTTTTTTCCCCGACAGTCAATTGATTAAGTATCACCGAATAGGTGCCACATATGGGTAACCTAACAGTCTCTGCAACATCTCCTTTAGAAACAGTTCGCAGGAAGGGACAGCATATTCCTTTTGCACGTTTATTTTCTCCTTAGTCGTTCAACCAAAGTTTTGTTTTACAACAAAATTATCACTTCTAATTTTTAGGGCGCAAAGAAGGCAATAGTTCAGCTGTTTCAAGAGTTCAAACGGAGATCAGAAAAGTACACAAAGATGCCGAATTTGACGAGAAAAAAAAGGTCAAAAAAGCAACCCTAAAATTAGTTTGACAAGTTATCAATACGCGATTCGCCCCCGACGTAAACTTTCACAGTACAAAAGAAAATTAACATTTCTTTATCTCTATGATAAGATGCATGCTGCACCCTTACTATTACAGACATGGACGTGGGAGACAACAAAGGGATATAAGTAGAATGAAACAATGAGCACAGTTTTTAGCTATCCTCCATTGTTTTCATTTTTGTTAAGTTTAATCACCTAGCGCCTATGTTTTAACTAAAGCGCGATTACGTTACCTACTAAAATCTCCTTTGCAAGAGAAAGAAAAGTGACCTAATATAGCCCTAATACCTTTCAAATCACACGTTCAACTCTATACTCAACAAGTACAACACAACACTATAGTGCTTTTGACAAAACAGAAGATGAACAAACTTGCTTTTTTTTCATCGAGTATTTGCAGAGGTCGTATTCTTCGTTTCTTAGAAGACATCGCCTCTCTCTTCGTGCAACTTCATATGTTTCCTTAGTGACATAACCTCACTGTAGCGCTTCTTACACTCTTTCAATCGACACAAGTAAGGTCTATCTGAGGCATGCACATGCGAGTGCTTTTTCCTGTCGCTTGAGTTGCCAAAACGGCGTCCACAGTCGGGTAAAGTGCACAGAAATGGCTTTTCCCCAGTATGTGTCCTCGTGTGTATTTTCAGATTCTCCGCCCGTGAGAATCGCCTACCGCATCCGAGATACACGCACAGAAAAGGCTTCTCTCCAGTGTGAACCCGTAGATGGTTCACTAGCCTGTAGCGTTCCTTGAATGGTAGCCCGTTCCTGGGACAGTCCTTCCAACGGCATATATATCGGAGGGAAGTGCTGTTGTAAACATGAAGCTCAGTGACGTGGCCTACCAAGTGGTCTATGGTGCCGAACACTTGATTGCACACAGAACTATGTTCTCTCTCGTCATTCTGAATTACCCAGCAGCACTTTAGTGGGCTATGAGCCGCAGGCAGAGCCAGGCTATAGGTGATGGGTGGATCCATAGCAATTCCAAACCCTGGCGGTGCATCGTAGCTTGAAGCAAAACTCTGAGCATTCAAGTTGCCTACACTGTGGTCTTTTCTGGGAAAGGTTAGTTGGGCACCGTGTAAGTCTTGATGGGAGTTATCCCAAGCTTGAGGAGGCATTCCATGCTGGACCGTAGATGATAATGTACTGCCTGTGAAGATGGCTCCTTCATAGCAAGATCTTGGCATAATATTGCTGTCCAACTCGCTAGAATCTCTTTGCGGCACGGTGTGAATAACTTGGTCACTGTCTCTCAGAGCCGAAGCGTGAGGTGAACTTTTGAAAAAGCCGTGGGGCGGTGCCCCACGGAAGCCTAAGGTGCACGAAGTCGGCGGCATAGTAGATCCGACCATGTACGAGTCTGGGGGCTGCAGAAAGTCCAAACAAGCCAGCGCTGGAAGTTGGGTGAAGGGCACACGAAAGCCGGCCATTTTACAAGCCTCTCGACGAAGTTAAGTGAAACTTTACGAATGGAGTTCAATTATGTGAGTGTTTCGGGTGAACAAAACAAGCTCTAATTATGTTATATCACACTAACCGGCCAAGCAGGCCGTTGATTTTTATCTTTAATTCGCACATCTTGATAATTGTTCACTAGTTTAATATATCAATCACTGAACATTTATAGTATTGTTATGATAATATGCGGCTACTTTCTTTATGGCTTATCTGATGAAAAAATGACGACGATCATATTTCAACACCTTTCTTTCAATCAGGTAGTTCAGGCAACGTATTGATCTGTCTCCAAGCACGAGTACAAAGGTCGCAAGGCTAATAAAACCGGCTTCAATCAGCGTCTCCAAAATAGAAGAGAAAAACCATGAAAAGAGACAGAATGATCTATTTGTCAACATGGAATCCTATCCTTAATAATGGAAAGACGAACTTACATACAATTGACACTAACAAAGGAAGTTTTCCATTTGAATTATGTCAAAATTACCCAAGAAGTTTGAAATGGCATGCCCACAGATCATTTTATAATTTTATTCTAAACATTAACAGATCGCCTGAATACCGCCCACGCTAAAGACATCTTATAACAGAAAAGGTAACAGAAAGTTAGTTCATCGAACAACAACACGACATTTTCATAACTGCATAAGGTGTCAGTCATCAGGAAAAAAATTGAGTGTAAGTTTTTTGTTTTAGTTTTTGTTTTTGTTCAGCCTTAAAATAACGGTGACATGATCAGCGACCATGGATAGGAAAACTATAATCGTTATCATTTTCGTTTGAAATTGGGAGCTTTTCAGTTTTTTTCGCTGGATGTCAAATTACTTGTTAAATTATACTTCATACATGATCGCCAAGTCGACAAAGCTTTTAAGCAGAAAATGTTTCCAAAAGACCAACTTTATCTCAATTCGATAAACAAAGGAATGGCTTTGGTTTAAATGGTGACCTTTAATAACCAGACAAGTTTCGACACTTCTTATAAAAATGTCTTCTGATAGCAAAAACAAAAACACCTAAAAATTAAACTCAACTGTGAAAGGTATTAAATACACATCAAATTTTTAAGTCACTTTAAAAGCTTTTAATTTCCTTTTCACGTAATTATGGCTTGACGATAGGCACGTCGTATGATGTTTTCCTAATTAAGAAAAATAAAAAGGACGAGCGAAAACCTAAACCTGTTGAGGTTAACATAAACAAGGGGAACATAATACGTAAATTGACCCTGTTATTAATACAAAATGTCACATTGTTCGCTTTGAAACCAAAGAAACCTGTTTATTATTTTTAAACAACGTACAGTTGGAATTCAACATGAAAATTCGCACGTCCATTTAAAGCTATGACCTTTTTTCAAGTTTCAGTGCGGCACATCCATCCTTACTACCCAAAGAAACCAACTTATGAAAGCAAAATCGACGCAAAATTGATAAAAACAACCAAGAATATCAAGATGTTTGTTCTTCTAAAAAGTAAAAATATATTAATGTTTGGAAAGAAATAACTATTTACACCCAGCCATGTTTACCTCGGCGTCTTAATTGCCAATAGCTTTCTACACTTTATGTATTCTGTTGTTTCGCTTAAGGTTGGATATCCCAACGAAAATGCGTATATCAGTTGTTTATTACATGGCAAAGTAGGCATATCTATAAAACTGAACCTTGTTTAACTACCAGGTGTTTCAATAGGGAAAATTTCGGATGATCTTGCAACAGAATTTACTTTTATTAGCACCAAAATGCAAATTTATGGGGCTTTAACTTTTTCCGCCAATATTTCCGTACCTTTACCTTCCAGAACACCCAAAGCACAAACAGAATATGCATCAGATCCCGACATTATATTCAAGACAAATACTCGCGTATTTCCTCCAGAGATATGAATGATATTTGAAGCTGTCTGGAGCTTGCCGCGAACACCACCTGTGACGTCATGTTCAAGGCTTGATGTAGTTATGGCATTGGAAAATCCCCCATTGGATTTAACAAACACGTTTCTGAGTAACAACGCATCTAGAGATGGGATAGTAAAGGTGTTCGGGTGAAAAAAGGTGAAACGAATGGGAAGAAACTCCACAATGATCAGGGGAGTCGTAAAAAGTTTGTAGTAACCCTTCAACACAAGCCTGAGTGGCTTCTAATATAAAGGTCATGACCGAAGAAAAAAGGAAATAGTCAACAAGTAGAAAAAGCTTCTGATTTTCAAACAAAGCCTCCAGGTCAATACCATAAACATTGTAAAGAGAACAGAATAAGAAGAACATAAATACTAATGTTAGGTTGTAAAGGGTTCATTTTACTCGCTCATTACTTGCAATCCGTGTTGATCCTTGTCAACCTTGACCACCCTTATCCCTTTCTGGCTTAATATCGCCTTTCTGAAGTAAGTCTTTTGAAACAAAGTATTATTTCAATGTTTCTTTGTGCTAATTGAATTAAAAACATATCTCTGTGACGCTGAAAAAGAATCAGATTTTCCTGACTTGGCCGTTTAACTTGAAAACTTTTGAGTGACAGATCAACTTCAGTTTGTGCTGCGTTACGACATAGCACGTCGTACGCTGGAGATAAGAAGACTATACGGGAACAAGGAAATTTACTAAAATGACAAGCAATAAAAGGCAATAAGAGCGTTTTTCAGTATAAAGATAAGATAAAAGATAAAAATGAAGCTAATTACCACGGCAAATAAGAAGAAAGAAAACTCCGCAAGAGCGCAAAAGTGTGGCAAAGCGCAAGTTGCCTCGCAGCAACCGTTTACCTGGTTTTTCAGGAGGTTTATCATAAATCCCATCGACATCTGTCAAAAACACAACCCGTCTGGGTCCAAGCTCTCGCACCAGTTTCTAAAAGGCATAAGAAAGATGCTACACTTAGATCTATACATCACCCTAAAGCCAGCCGTAAACCCGTTTTCAACAAAACAAATACAGTGTTTCAGGCATAGAAATCTTATGGGAACGGGCTCTGTAGCAAAAAGTTCCCTCTTGTAAATGTCTCTTGATAAAACTTGATCATTGCAGGAGATTTGACGATTGAGGTCTTTTGATAAAACACCGCAGGCTGGGGTTTGCAGTCTGCTGTTTGGCGTGTTCACTCTTTCATGGTAAAATTTTGCTAAAAGAAATGAGGTCATCTTTGAACTAAAAGGCGTGAAATGAATGGTCAGATCTCTCCTGAGTTCACGTCAACATATGACACCTTAAAGGTACAAACAAGCAAGCAGTTACAGTGCAAGAAACTGCGACTAACCAAAACGCAACTGGTTTTAGTTTCGCATTTGCTGGTCAAGTGAGGTTGCGAAAAGTTTATGGGCTTATCACAGAAATTAGAAGAAAATAAAGCAATCCAATCCCAGATTAGTTTCTTCAGTCAGTTGAAAAGCGCTCGAAACTCATCATGAAGTAGACCACAAACACTCCTTTTTGGCAAAGTCCGTCGCGTTGACAAAGAATCAACAAAAATTAACTTACTTTTATGAATATTAGTGCGCCGCACAGAATTCTAGGACTGAGGCGCACAAAAAATTAGGATTACAGACTAAGGAGAGAGTTTGACCTCGCCTATGACCTTTTTGTTGCTCGCGCGACGAACTTCGCCGAAAAAGAGGGACTTGTTGTGGTCTAATCGTGACCCAGTTCCTTTCACTGAGATACACCTCAATGATTTTGTCTCCACTCAGAATAGCACATCCTTGTGCATCATCCAATACACAGTCACCATGGAGAACTGGTACAAAACCCGCTTGCAAAAGTTCTATGATTGGACTCAACGTTACTCTGTTGACATGGCCTTTTCTTGTTACCCATGATCCACACGGCTTCAAACATGCAAAGAGAAGAGGAAAAAAGCTATGAATTATGATTCTAACTGAAATTCCAGCAGTTTCAATAACTTAAGGCCACATACATTTTTCAGTTGTTGCCAGGTCTACATGTATTTAGGAGTATTCATAGTACCCTCTAGGGACCAGAATAACCAAGGTGGTATCAATTGGGATGTTAAAGGGGTAGTGTGTTCCAGAAACAATATAAGATTATTTCTGCAGTTAAAAAGTAAAATATAAATGAACTTTCCATGTGCAGCTGGAGATTACCAAAAGGTAAACTGTCCGTTTAAAAATTTATGATGGAAGTTCTTTGAGTCATGGATGAAAATTGCGTCACCGAATAGACTATTTTCAACTCAACCTTTTGACCCCTGAGAATGACTCAGCATCAAATTTCTAAGGTCGAGAGAATAAACAAAATTATCAAACTAAAGAAGCTCTTGATTGCATAACAAATTCTCCTTGTCAGCACCTTAGGAAATGTTTAGAGAACAGTATGGAGAATATTCATACTGATGTTAGGGTGTAAAGAGTTATTAATAGCATTGTTGAGAGTAAATAAACAAACTTAGGAAACTGAATAAATATACTCCTTCAGTGTCCTTTACTTAATATGTCTTCTCATTTCCACAAATAAGCACAATTGAAAAAAAAAAAAAAAACATCAAATGAGAGTTATTATAACCAAGACCAGTCAGTCAGTCAATTTTTTTGACAAATCCTGGTAAATATTTTTTATCATTTCATACTGTGTAAGAAAATTTTTCTTTACAGAATCAGAAGTTTTGGTTCTTCTAAGGCAGATTATTTAACCAAAGAGATTCCTGACAGGAGACAATCAAGATGCTCTGTACTGCAAAATATTACAGTGTAAGTCTGCCTAGATTAATAGCATTCAATCAGCATTTAACTTTGATCTCTTATGACTGTTTGTAGATTAAAGTCACTAAACCACAAAATTACAGCTCAACATAATATCAGGATTTGCACTTGAAAATACTTTAATAGCTACAGGAATAAATGAGTTACACCCAACCTTGTTGCGCTATTATCTCACCATTTAGTATAAACATGTTGTATTTTACTCTTGTACGAAAACAAGTATTGAATAAACCTTTATTATTATTATCATTATTATTATTAATAATAATAATGCATCAAGATCACCACACTCCAGATGAAGCAGATAACAATGCTGCGAAGTCCCAGGCAATTAGGTAAGAAACGTGAGGCCCTGAAAGAATCTGAAGTGAGGGTAAAGAACATGTTAACACCAAACTCGTTCAAAGTGAAAGAACAAACATCAGAAAGAGGTGCCTCCAGTTGGCTCACTGTCATCCCGTTAAAAGATCAAGGATACGATCTCAATAAAGGAGAATTTAAAGATGCCCTTAAGCTGAGATATAATTGGGAATTCTCTGACATCCCAAACTGGTGCGTCTGTGGTGACATCTTTGACGTGGACCATGCGATGACCTGCAGAAATGGCGGATT